TGTGACCTTTGGATGGGGAAAATCCACGGGGAAACCGGATTCACTGTGGCCAGCAAAGTCATAAACGGGACAAAAAAGCACTTTCACAAATGTCTCGCTTAAGAACAGAAATGTTGGGCTCAATGGTGATCGTACGTTGAGGACTACCTGTATACACCAGCCCACATGTGGGTCATGTGATCGTGAGGAAACTAACGGTCGTAAGTGTGAGGACCGCTCATAAATCTCTTTTTCAGGGCTGCTGTCCCTTCAAAATGGTCACTAAACAAATGACTGTCAGTCACGGACGACCTGTAGGTATATTAGCCCTAGTTTTTTGCTCCGTCTGGTCTCTTTTGATTTCTTCTTATCTTTTGTGACCGAATTGAAAAGACGAGATAAAATAATCCCTTCGCTTTCCTCATCTCTCCGGTTCCAGAATTATGGCGTGGGATTTTTCCACTCGCTCTGTCCAAATAACCTGTTCAGTGTCTGAAGAGAAGACTTGGAGAATTGAAGGCGCAGATTTAATCTCTTTTTCAAACAGCCCCTGGGTGGGTCTTTCTTCATTTTCCGAATCCAATATCAAGGAATAATTATCAATCTGAAATGGGCCATAAACGGCCGCCTTTCCACCCGCGAGGTCCTCCTTTAATCCTAATTTTGGAGGGGTTTAAATCGCGATTGGTGTCTGGTGGCCAGTGCTTACTAGATGGGAGATGAAGATCGAGTAACTTTCATTAATTAGCCAACCGTTTTAAATTAAACCCGGGGGCTATAAAATAGACCTTTGCTGCTATTGATTTATAGAACAATTGGTGACGATCAGCTTTTTTTTTGCATCCAGCATCTTCAAGATGGTTAATTTCCCCAGCAAGGAAAAGTGGTACAACTTTTCTGTTGCTAAGTGAAACATTTATTAAGTAAACTTTGCCCCCTTTTACGACCTTTCCTGCCACAGTTGTTAAGTGAATCACGGCGTTTGTTAACTTAGCATCAAAACGGTCGTTAAACAAATCCGGACTTCTCCCAGTGACTGTGCTTGTTGGAAGGTCGCAAAAGGGGATCACGTGACTCCAGGACACGGTGACCGTCGTAAACGCGAGTCGGGTGCAAAGCCTCTGAATTCTGATCACGTGACCCTGGGGACGCTTGCATTGGTCGTTAAGGGGGGAAAACGGTCATATGTCGCTTTTTCCAGAGGCGTTGTAACTTTGAGCAGTCACTAAACGAACCGTCGTAAATCGAGGACTAGCTGTCTTGATAGGAAATTCAGTTTTCATCCCGGCAACCTAGCACAAGTATAAGTTAGGAAGTTTTGCTTTATTCTTTTCTAAGTTTAAAGCTGGGGGGGGGGAGAGAAAAAGCTCACGAAAAGAAGTTTATTTTTAAATGCCTTCTTAAGGGCAAAGCCTCCTTAAAAGTACCTGACAAAGACTATTGGGGAAAGTGTCGCTTAAAAAGATTGGGGGGGGGGGCAGGAGGAATTTACCTTCATTACGGGAAATTTTATAGAAAGGCCAGTTGTTTTACCGGTGAACTAAAGGGAAGAGGGTTTTTTTTTTCCTTCCAATTGTTCTTCTTTCACAATAATAAATCTAGGGGATTGAAATGCTAAACTTATAATGGATTAAAATGGGCAGGCAAGGGGAGGGCAGGGCAGGAGAGAAGAGGAGAGAGAAGAGGGGAGAGGATAGTTAGGAGACAAGAGTAAGGAGGAAAATAACAGGAGAGGAGGGGAGGGGAGGAGAGGAGAGGGAAAAAACAGGAGAGAGAAGAGTAAGGAGAGGAGAGAGGAGAGGAGAGGAGAGGAAAATAACAGGAGAGGAGGGGAGAGGAGAGGAGAGGAGAGGAAAATAACAGGAGAGGAGGGGAGAGGAGAGGAGAGGAGAGGAGAGGGAAAAAACAGGAGAGAGAAGAGTAAGGAGAGGAGAGGAGAGGAGAGGAAAATAACAGGAGAGGAGGGGAAAGGAGAGGAGAGGAGAGGAAAATAACAGGAGAGGAGGGGAGAGGGGAGGAGAGGAGAGGGAAAAAACAGGAGAGAGAAGAGTAAGGAGAGGAGAGAGGAGAGGAGAGGAGAGGAAAATAACAGGAGAGGAGGGGAGAGGAGAGGAGAGGAGAGGAAAATAACAGGAGAGGAGGGGAGAGGGGAGGAGAGGAGAGGAGAGGAGAGGAGAGGGAAAAAACAGGAGAGAGAAGAGTAAGGAGAGGAGAGAGGAGAGGAGAGGAGAGGAAAATAACAGGAGAGGAGAGGAGAGGAAAATAACAGGAGAGGAGGGGAGAGGAGAGGAGAGGGAAAAAACAGGAGAGAGAAGAGTAAGGAGAGGAGAGGAAAATAACAGGAGAGGAGGGGAGAGGGGAGGAGAGGAGAGGGAAAAAACAGGAGAGAGAAGAGTAAGGAGAGGAGAGAGGAGAGGAGAGGAGAGGAAAATAACAGGAGAGGAGGGGAGAGGAGAGGAGAGGAGAGGAAAATAACAGGAGAGGAGGGGAGAGGAGAGGAGAGGAGAGGAGAGGGAAAAAACAGGAGAGAGAAGAGTAAGGAGAGGAGAGGAGAGGAAGAGGAAATAACAGAAGAGGGAGGGGATTAGGGGAGGAGAGGAGAGGAAAAAACAGGAGTAGAGAAGAGTAGGAGAGGAGCGAGGAGAGCGAGAGGAGAGGAAAATAACAGGAGAGGAGGGAGAGGAGAGGAGAGGAAAATAAACAGGAGGGAGGGGAGAGGAGAGGAGAGCGAGAGGGAGGGAAAAAACATAGGAGAGAGAATAAGAGTAATGAGAGGAGAGAGAGGAGAGGAGAGGAGAGAGAGGAAAATAACAGGAGAGGAGGGGAGAGGAGAGGAGAGGAGAGAAAAAATAACAGGAGAGGAGGGGGAGAGTGAGGAGAGGGAAAAAACAGGAGAGAGAAGAGTAAGGAGAGGAGAGGAGAGGAAAATAACAGGAGAGGAGGGGAGAGGAGAGGAGAGGAGAGGGAAAAAACAGGAGAGAGAAGAGTAAGGAGAGGAGAGAGGAGAGGAGAGGAAAATAACAGGAGAGGAGGGGAGAGGAGAGGAGAGGGAAAAAACAGGAGAGAGAAGATTAAGGAGAGGAGAGGAGAGGAAAATAACAGGAGAGGAGAGGAGAGGAGAGGAGAGGAGAAGAGAGGAAAATTACAGGAGAAGAGAGGATTGGAGGAAGAAAGAGGAGGGGGAGGTAAAAAACAGGAGAGAAAGAAAGTAAGGAGAGGAGAGAAGAGGAAAATAACAGGAGAGGAGAAGAGAGGAGAGGAAAATAACAGCTCAGAGAGCACCAAAAACCCACAGTTGCCCTCCTCCTCCTCCTCCTCGCAAATCCTCCTTCCTTCTGGAACTGATGATGTTCCCTAGTTGGATCATGAAACGTCTGCAAGGAAATAACCAAGCTCAAAAAGCACCAAGGATCCCACAGTCCTCCTCCTCCTCCTCCTCCTCCTAAGCATTGATTATGTTATCTAGTTGGGTCATGAAACATCTGCAGGAAAACCACCCAGCTCAGAGAGCACCCAGGACCCCACAGTTCAACCCTCAGCCACAGATATTCTCTTCTATTTGATTTGTGTTCAGACCAAGCCTTCCTCCCCCCCCCTCCAGCCACAATTCCTCATTTAGAATCTAACATTTCATATATGGCATACCCCCTCTGGCTAAAACTGCCGGTCCTGACTGGAAACGGGGAGACGCAAGAGCGGTGCGTAATATACACAACAGCTACCTCATCCACCAACTGTATTGTAGGTTGCAGAAGGCCTATTCAACTGAGCTTGACTGCAAAGGCGTTTAAACCAGTTTTGGTCACCACAATCTCAAAAAGATGTTGAGACTCTGGAAAGAGTGCAGAGAAGAGCAACCAAGATGATCAGGGGACTGGAGGCTGAAACATATATAAAAAAACAGTTGCTGGAATTGGGTTGGTCCTGTTTAATGAAGAGAAGAACGAGGGGGGACATTAGAGCAGTCTTCCAGTATCTCAGGGGCTGCTCCAAAGAAGAGGGAGTCAAGCTATTCTCCAAAGCATCTGAAGGCAGGACAAGAAGCAACGGATGGAAACTCATCAAGGAGAGAAGCAACCTGGAACTAAGGAGAAACTTCCTGGCAGTGAGAACAATTAACCAGTGGAACAACCTGCCTCCAGAAGCGGCGAATGCTCCAACACTGGAAGTGTTTGATTGGACAGCCCTTTGTCCGAAATGGTATAGAGTTTCCTGCCTGAGCAGGGGGTTGGACTAGATGACCTCCAATGTCCCTTCCAAACTCTGTTATTCTGATGATAGATAGATAGATAGATAGATAGATAGATAGATAGATAGATAGATAGATAGATAGATAGATAGATAGATAGAGATAGAGATATGATATATGATATATATCAGACAGCCACTTGTCTGGAATGGTAGAGGAGAAACTTCCTGACAGTTAGAACAATTAAGCAGTGGAACCACCTGCCTCAAGAAGTTGTTAAGAAGAGACTGAACAGCCGTTTGTCCGAAATGGTATAGGGTTTCCTGCCTGAGCAGGGGGTTGGACTAGATGACCTCCAAGGTCCCTTCCAACTTTATTATTATTATGGATCATTGCACATTCAGCCAGATGTTCAGACTGGATTTGGTATTTTGTCTACCTATCGAGTCCTTACCAAGGACCTGGGATAGGCAGATGTGGATGTTGTTGTTGTTGTTGTTGTTGTTGTTGTTGTTGTTCTTCTTCTTCTTCTTCTTCTTCTTCTTCTTCTTCTTCTTCTTCTTCTTCTTCTTCTTCTTCTTCTTCTTCTTCTTCTTCTTCTTCTTCTTCTTATTCTTATTCTTCTTCTTCTTATTATTATTATTAAACTGAGGTAAGCCTCTTCCCGCCAGCAGGAAAGGGAAGCTGGTATCAAAGCATGAAGCATCCTCCGAGTTAGGAGAACAGTGGAGAAAGGGCACCCAGTTGTAAGAATTTCGCCTTCCTCTTCCCAGTCCAGAAATCCTAAATTTGCTTTTCGACAACTCTGTGCGTTCTCGTTGTGCGTCCACAGGTCCGTTCTCCCGGGGATCTTCAAATTGGGGGACCCTCAGTAGGACGCTGGTGGAATTACGGGGTGAGTATCAAGCAGCGCTGTCTCTTTCCCTGAAGCTTAAAGAGGGGAGTAGAGCATCCACCTGCCTCATCTTCATTTTTTTTAAAAAAAAAAAATTTATTATGGCCTTTAAGCCAGCAAATAGCAACTTGAAGGAAACGGGGGAAGAGCGAAGCAAAATGGAGAAACCAAAATAAGCATATGCAGCAATACATCTTAAATCTTTTCTTTTTTAAAATCAGTTTGTCACACTTTATTACAGGGGTCTTCAAACGTGGCCCCTTTAAGACTCGTGGACTTCAACTCCCAGGATTCCTCAGCCAGCCCTCAGGGCTGGCTGAGGAATCCTGGGAGTTGAAGTCCACGAGTCTTAAAGTGGCCACGTCTGAAGACCCCCGCTTTATTAGATTATAGAATAAAATAGAAAAAATACAAAAGCCAATGGTGGAGCGGGAAAAGAGGAGAAAAGGTGAGGGGCAGAGAAGGGACAAAGAAAAGAAACAGCTGTTGGCTTCCAACTTCCTCTGTTGCAGTAGACCAGTGGTTCTCCACCTGTGGGTAGTGACCCCATTTGGGGTCGAACGACCATTTCACGGGGGTCGCCAAACAACGCAGTCCGCCATTTTTTCCCTCTTTTCCTTAGCTGTGCTCCTCCCTTTTATTCTATTGGCTTCTGAAAGCCAATAGAATAGACTCTCTTGAATAGAGTCTAATTCTATTGGCTTTCCAAAGCCAATAGGAATTGTCCAGGCTGTCTCTGCCCTGCTGAGCCCGCCAAAAGTCCCATTCTGCAAACGGTGCTGCACCAGTTGAGTAGTCCTTGACTTACGACCGGTTGGGGGTCGCAGCATTAAAAAGGTTGAGAACCACTGCAGTAGAATAAAATATTAACATCGGACCTCACCTTTCTACTTTTCCACAGTAGTAGAAACTAGCTCTTTCTATAACAAGTCCATCGAATCAGTCAAACCCCCAATCAAAGTTTCGTTGGTTTTTTCCCCCACCTCAAGTACAAAATACAAAATACTCATTTATTCGTTTTTCTTGCAGCCTTATCCTGGACCTCAAGGAGCAAAGAGGATTAAGGTAATCTTTAGGAGAAATGAAAAAAAAAATAAATAAAAATAAAATCAGCGTTCCTTTCAGAGTGTAAACTAAGGCAACAGCACAAAGCCCCAACTAAGTCCTGAATTCTTGACTTCCCATTTTCTTATGCTGAGATAAAGAAAAGAGAAAAAAATAAATAAATCAAGGGAGAGCCATTACTGTTTCCCCTAACTGAGCGATGTCTTCTCTCTGCTTTTCTGCCCTTTTCATCAATGGAAACCATTTGCTGTCTTTCATTAAGCGTGAACATTTGCAGTGCTGGTAAGGTGTCAAGTTCTCAACAGAGGGATGGCATCAGGATCAATGGTCATGAAACGTCTGCAAGAAAACAAACAAGCTAGAAGAGCACAAAGAACTCCATAGTTTTTCTCCTCCTCCTCCTCCTCCTCCTCCCTTCAAACCCCACTGCCTTCCAGCACTGATGATATTACCTAGTTGGGTCATGAAACGTCTGCAAGAAAACAAACAAGCTAGAAGAGCAATAAAGACAACCTTTTATTTCTAAGAGTCATCCATTCTTTTACCCATGTTAATACGAATGCTTGATAATATAAAACCCACTCCGGTAAACCAAATCCTCCATTTTTCTTGGCATCTTGTAGCATTTTCATCTTAATTCTAGCTTTCTTTCCTCACCAAACAAATTTCAAGACTAGTGAATTTAAATCTTTAAAAAAAAAAATTCACAAGTTTTATAGGCATTGTTTGAAATAGAAATAAGATTTTCGGTAGTACATTCATTTTCACGATGGCAATTCTTCCTAGTAGTGACAATTGCTTGTTATATCTGGAGGGGCATGATTTACAATTGGGGTGCCACGCCTTTTTAGGGTATGGGAAACATAAAGTTCATAAATATTTCCGAAATCATTATATAAGAAATGCATTATTAACAATATGGGAAAAAAAATAAAAAGTAAAATATATTTGAAAATAGAAGAGCACAAAGAACTCCACAGTTTTCCTCCTCCTCCTCCTCCTCCTCCTCCTCCTCCTCCTCCTCCTCCTCCTCCTCCTCCTCCTCCTCCTCCTCTCCGCAAACTCCTCTCCCTTCTAGCACTGATGATGTTACCTGGTTGGGTAAAAAAACGTCTGCAAGAAAACCATCAAGCTCAGAGAGCACCAAGGACCCCACAGTCTTTGTCCTCCTCCTTCTCCTCCTCCTCCTCCTCCTCCTCCTCTTCCTCTTCCTCCTCTTCCTCCTCCTCCTCCTCCTCTCCACAAACTCCTCTCCCTTCTAGCACTGATGATGTTACCTGGTTGGGTAAAAAAACGTCTGCAAGAAAACCATCAAGCTCAGAGAGCACCAAGGACCCCACAGTCTTTGTCCTCCTCCTTCTCCTCCTCCTCCTCCTCCTCCTCCTCTTCCTCCTCTTCCTCCTCCTCCTCCTCCTCCTCCTCCTCTCCGCAAACTCCTCTCTCTTCTAGCACTGATGATGTTACCTGGTTGGGTCAAAAAACGTCTGCAAGAAAACCATCAAGCTCAGAGAGCACCAAGGACCCTACAGTCTTTGTCCTCCTCCTCCTCCTTCTCCTCCTCCTCCTCCTCCTCCCTCTCCTCCTCTCCTCTCTTCTCCTCTTCTCCTCTCACTCCCTCTCCTCCTCCTCCTCTCCGCAAACTCCTCTCCCTTCTAGCACTGATGATGTTACCTGGTGGGTCAAAAAAACGTCTGCAAGAAAACCATCAAGCTCAGAGAGCACCAAGGACCCCACAGTCTTTTTCCTCCTCCTCCTCCTCCTCCTCCTCCTCCTCCTCCTCCTCCTCCTCCTCCTCCTCCTCCTCCTCCTCCTCCTCCCCACAAACTCCTCTCCCTTCTAGCGCTGATGATGTCACCTGGTTGGGTAATAAAATGTCTGCAAGGAAACCAACCAAGCTGAGAGAGTTCAACCCTGAGATACAAAGATTGTCTTCTGTTGGTTCTCACATTACATCCCCGTTGCATATTTGCCCTGGGCAGCCCGCGTTTGACACACCCGAGAATTGTGTCTTCAGTCTAGGCTTAGTATGTGGTAGGAACCCAGGCACATTTCTGATTTTTTTTCCCTGGCTTCGTTCAATAAAGCAGTCTGAGGTAAAACGGGGGGGGGGGGATCTAGAACATTCCTAAAAATAACACAAGCGACGATTTCTGTCTTTTAGAAGGAAGGAGAACCAGCCTCGGTGGGTCTTGATTCTGCGTGCCTCCGAGGTCAGAAGGTCGGTGTGCTTGTCCATTACGCAACCCGTGCGTTCTTGAGCAGGAGACTTCAGGGAGTGGGGGGAAATAATCAATTCACGCTTCCCTCCGAGGGCTTCAGCCAAAATTTGATGCCTCTGCAAAAGCTGGCCAGAACTGACCTTGCATTCTTTTCCTTCTCAGAAATGCTATCTGGAGGATGTGCTCAACAAAATCAAGATGGTTGAACTTTAAAAAATGTAGAACAATTCACCAGTGGAACAACCTGCCTCCAGAAGTTGTGAGTGCTCCCACACTGGAGGTTTTTAAGAAGAGATTGGACAGCCATTTGTCTGACATGGTATAGGGTTTCCTGCCTGAGCAGGGGGTTGGACTAGATGACCTCCAAGGTCCCTTCCAACTGTTATTCTATTCTATTTTATATGTTCTATTCTATTCTATTCTATTCCATATTTTTTATTCTTTCCATATTTTCTATTCTATTCTATTCTATTCCATATTTTATATTCTATTCCATATTTTATATTCTATTCTATTCCATATTTTTTCTATTCTATTCTATTCTGTTCCATATTTTTATTCTTTTCTATATTTTCTATTCTATTCTATTCTATTCTATATTTTCTATTCTATTCTATTCTATTCTATTCTATTCTGTTCTGTTCTGTTCTAAAAACCAGAAGGCACTTCATTCATGCCATCAAGATCGCCATCTTGCTTTTGTTGACCAAAAACACCCCTGGGTCAAGGCAAAGAGCTTATCTAGGTCACCTTCCTGAAACCTGAGTTCCGTACTTGACCCTTATGTTCAGAAGGACCGAGCTAGTGGCACCTTTGATCAAGTGATCTCTGGACAGGCCCTACCAATGAATGGAAGGATTTTGAGGGTGTATTCAGGGTCCATGGGTCAGCGAGAGACCTTGTGGCTTCATTCTGACAACACCATAAGCTTAGTTCTGCCTTTGCTATGTCTTTTGGGCTTCACGGGTTGTGTGAATGCATCCCTTTGGGCTTAACCTGTGGCTCAGTATAGAGTGTGGGGTATCATCTTACAAATCATGTTGTGGTTTGTCGAGGTAATGGTTTAATAGCCAAACAGCTTATGCAATGATGTAAAGTAATATAAGGTGGATGATGCAATGATAGGAATGACTCAGCAGGGTCTGTGTCTCTTTAAGAGCAAGCAGGGTCTGTATCCCTTTAAGAGCCTGAGTATAAAAGGGAAGGTTTTGCTGGAGTGTCTCTCTCTCTCTCGTCCGTTTTCCTGCTGTAACTGCTGTGTGTTGGAGTTTGCTGTATTACCACGTGTATGTATACTGTCCCTGGTGCATATTGTGGATAGTGTAAAATAAACCACCATTTAATATAGACCACTGTTTACTGTATTTACTCCTGGGTTATCTCAGCGCAATAAGACTGTGCATGCTCTGACATGGTTGTTGGTTTTCTTGTGTCCATTGCAGGGAGAAAAGGGCTTTCCTGGAAACAAAGGGATCAAAGGTGAAAAGGTATGTTTCTAACAGCATTCTGTTCTACTCTTAAGTCACTTTTTTCAATGATGTTGTATCTTCAGTCATTAAACAAACTACCTTCATATCTAAAGGTCCAGAGAGAAAAGTCCGGGAAGATGGTCAAATGTGTATGATAAAGTTGAATTGGCAGCCAGGTAGAATAGATTCAGACTTTTGTTTCTTCTTTCAGGGAGACCCAGGAGAGGCAGGAGAAGCAGCTGTGAAGGTAAGCATCAAAAGGAGGAGGAATGGTGTGGCAATTTGTAGGAGAAGAGCAGGCGAAGTTGGAGTGGTGGAGTTAAATGAGTCATTAGCCTAGAGTAGTTACGTTACCACAAACAGTTCAAGTTCAACTCCTCCTGAATTCAATTTATACATAAATAAATATATATAAAAATTTGGGCTATGTGTGGTAACATAACTAATCTAGGCTAATGGTTCATTTAACTCCACCACTCCAGCTCTGTATATTTATTTGTTTTCGTAGATGTTCACAGGTATAGTTATGCAGGTCTTGGCGTATTCGGGTCTTTTCCCGTGTTCTAGGAGCACGAAGCCGAAAACACCAGCCTGAAGATGATGAATGGGACTTTGTCGAAACGTCGCCAACACACTTCCAATTTTACGTGGGAGAAAACCCGAATAACCAAAGACCTATGTACAAACACCCGCGAACACCTCAGAAAACATAGATAGATAGATAGATAGATAGATAGATAGATAGATAGATAGATAGATAGATAGATCTATATCTATAGATATAGATATATACAGATATAGATATAATAGAGATAGATAGATAGATAGATAGAGAGAGAGAGAGAGAGAGGTAAAGGTAGATATATAGATATATGCACATACACATACACATACATATACACATGTAATCCAGCTAATTTATTTATTTGTTTAGTAATTTAATATAACCTCCCATCTATTATCTGTGATAATAGTGTGCTAAGTTTAAAATAAAACAAAACAATTCAATAATAATAATAATAACCAACAACAACAACAAAACCCCAAATTGTTAAAACTCATTACAAAACAGTTACTCTGGGAAGGTAAAGAGCTGCGTACCAACTGCACTCTCTCCTTCCTTGGGAAATCCCCCATGCTGCTGCTATTCACCGTTTGCGTCTAATCCAGAGCAATACATACTCTACCGCAATACGTCAAACCAAACGTGCGTCACCCTGAGGACTAGAGACTTTACCTTTTACTTTTGTGTCTTCCAGGGAAGCAAGGGCAGCGACGGCGAAGTGGGTCAAAAGGTAAAGGAATTGGGTTTTCGAAGGAGGGATTCTCCCTGTGTGTGAGGAAGGCAACCCCGTTGCAAGTAGCCAATTTAAGGGAAATATTCAATTTGCCAGCCTGGTTTGTGCCCTATGTTAGGCTTCTCCCAGATTTGGGGGTGCCAATTGCCAATGACTTGACGTGTCCTCTTTTTTTTTTCCTTCATCTACTTTCAAGGGAGAACCAGGGATTGGTTTCCGGGGTCCTGTAGGGCAAGCTGGCCCTCCTGGACGTAAGGTTGGTAGAGTAAAAAGCTTGTGTTTTTCACGATGGAGACTGGGCACCTAATTCAGGGACTCAGGGAGACCCCAGAAGGGGGTCAAAACAACCAGGGTAGCAGTCATTGCTTGTTAAAAAAGGGGAGGGGCTTCGATTGTAGGACAGTGACCACCCTTTGGACTTTTTTTTGACAATATTCCGCATCTGGTGAAAAAAAAAAACATTAAAAGGATGGAAAGTTCATCCTGTCCAATTGTGATTTCAAACCCTGAAAATAAGTATGCCGCGTGGTTCCTTCCAACTTTGTTATTTTGGGTATTGGGTGCTAACAACCAGCTAACCAAATCAGCAAGAAAACCACCAAGCTCAGAGAGCACCAAAGACCCCACAGTTAATAGAATAGAATAGAATAGAATAGAATAGAATAGAATAGAATAGAATAGAATAGAATAGAATAGAATAGAATAGAATAGAATAGAATAGATGGGATGGGATGGGATGGGATGGGATAGAGTAGAGTAGAGTAGAGTAGAATAGAACAGAACAGAACAGAACAGAATAGAATAGAATAGAATAGAATTACAGAATAGAATTACAGAATAGAATAGAATAGAATAGAATAGAATAGAATAGAATAGAATAGAAATAGAATAGAATAGAATTACAGGAATAGAGTAGAATAGAATAGAGTAGAGTAGAGTAGAGTAGAGTAGAGTAGAGTAGAATAGAAAATATCGGATGGGATGGGATGGGATGGGATGGGATAGAATAGAATAGAATAGAATAGAATAGAATAGAATAGAATAGAATAGAATAGAATAGAATAGAATAGAATTACAGAATAGAATAGAATAGAATAGAATAGAATAGAATAGAATAGAATAGAATTACAGAATCGAATAGAATTACAGAATAGAATAGAATAGAATTATTCTATTCTATTATTGTCACTTCGAATGCACACTAATCAGCATACATTAAAATGAGCTTTCGTTGCATTCCGCTCTCCAAAGGCCGCCCCCTCCAATATACACTACATAAACACATTCAACCTTTAACCACAAACTGTCTCTTCTTGGAAGATGGTAAACACCACAGAACTTTATTCCACCCTACTTTCTTCCCAGGGTGATTGATCTTTCCACTTCCTTTCCCCCAGGGCGAACCTGGAGCACCAGGGCCTGCTGGAGCACAAGGTGTCCAGGGAATCCGGGGTAATCCCGGTACACCAGGGTCCCAGGGAGAAAGGGGGGCCCCAGGCCCACCTGGAGCTCTTGGGCAAAAGGTAAGGTAACCTTTGGGGGTCACAGTCCCAGGTACCCAAATCTCACCTGTCACCGAGCCGCGAATGGCAAAGAAATAAGATTCTCCCAATTCTCTTTGTAATTCCCAATCTTCCTGCTTTCTGATCAAACTGTTCCCTTGATTTAATCCTTCTCACTGCCCAGAGTGAATCCATTGTTGGTAAAAGTACAGTAGAAAAAAAAAAAAAAAACAACCAGGGGCAAGAATCGTATTTGCACAATATTGGAAAAAGAAATGATTTTAAAAATATTAGAATGTGCAGAAACGGACATTGAGCAGCGGGTTGGACTAGATGACCTCCAAGGTCCCTTCCAACTTTTTTATTATTATTATTATGGATCATCGCACAGTCAGCCAGATGTTCAGACTGGATTTGGCATTTTGTCTACCTATCGAGTCATTATTATTATTATTATTATTATTATTATTATTATTATTATTATTATGATCATTGCACAGTCAGCCAGATGTTCAGACTGGATTATTATTATTATTATTATTATTATTATTATTATTATTATTATTATTATTATTATACTATCAGACTTGGGACTTGTTCTACCAATGGATGGAGAAAAGACTAAAAGATTAGGAATTAAATTTGTATTCTTGAATAATAAACTCAGACCACACGTCATTGCGTAAGTGCTGTGGAGCTGTAGGGAAAAATTAATAAACATTTTACAAAAAGAGAAAAGAAAAAAAATCTGGGGCCGCATCTATCCCACTCCTATCCCCCCAGGCCAACACCCCCCCCCCAAGCCAAATTTATTATGGTGAGAATCCAAATAGATAAGACATGCATCCTGAACATTAGATCTTGTGATGAATTGTGATAAAGGGAATTGGGGTTATTTAAAACTTGGAAATTATAAACATGAAACGTTAAATTTAAATATTAACGGGAAACTAAAAATTGGGAAAAACTAATTAGGACATTGATTGTCTATAAAGATTGAATGTTAAAACAACCCAGATACGTATAAGCTAAAAATTATTGATAAACATAAGAAAGCTATTTTTTATTTAATCGCTATAATAACAATGGTATTAGTTTAAATATGAGACCGTAAAATACCAAGGGGAAAAGAAGGGACTTATTTAATGTGGTAGTTTGAGATCTGTACTAAAGATACTTGTATGTTATTGAATTATCGATTAACCCAGCCGCCACGTTGCTTTTTAAATATTGAAATGTAAAAATAGAAAATCAAATTTATTCGAATAAAACCAGAAAGTCTGACTTGGCTCCATCCAATATCCAGTAGGGCCGCTCAGAAAAACTTTTATCTCTGAAAAAGGGGGCAGGCAAAAGGAACTTCTTGCAGGTTGGAAATATAAAGGTAGCTGAAATCCACGTGGGCTTTTTTTTTTGAAGGAAGAAAAAGAGTGTTTGTTATGTCACGGAACAAGGCAGCATGAAAAAAAAAAGGGAACAAAGCAATCCTGCGGGTGAAATTGGAAAATGGACGGAGAATTATCTTCCTGTATTATTCTGAGACAGGCTATTACTGGGTCAGGCAGCATTTTCTAAGCAATCTGGACGCTGAATCCAGGTTAGCGTGACCCAGCCCTGTTCCACAGAATAAAAAACAAGTTAGTGAATCCAAAAACAGGCCTTCTTCGAGCGGAAGGAGATGTAGGATTCTTTGGCCAGCCTCGGCTGGTCTCACAATTCACAACTCGGCTGATTTCGGGGGCTGCCCCAAAGATGAGGGGGGGGGAACAATCTCTTCTCCAAAGCACCGATGGAAGCGACAGATGGAAAACTCACCAAGGAGAGAAGCAACCGGGAACGAAGGAGGGATTTCCTGACAGTGAGAACTAAGTGAGAAATTTGTTCAGTGAATTTTGCCTCGTTTTACGCCCGTTCTTGCCACAGCTGTTACGTGAACCATTGCAGTTGTTGAGTTAGTAACTAGAGATGGGAAGGCCTGGGGGGAAAAAAACTGAAAAAATAGGGGGGAAAAACAAGGGTTTTTTTCCCCCATTATTGTCCAAACGGTTGGTCATTTGCCTTCTTTTAGAGCAGCGGTTCTCAATCTATGGGTCGCGACCCCATTTGGGGTCAATCGACCATTTTTCGGGGGTCGCCAAAGGCGGCGATCCGCCATTTTTCCCCCTCAGGGGGCGGCGCCGCGCATGCGCGCCGCCGCCATGCGCGCGGCACCACACATGCGCAGAACGTTTGTGTGACGGGGGTCGCCGTCACACAAACATTGAGAACCACTGTTTTAGAGAGTCGTTGAGACCACTTGGAGGTTTGCCTGTGTCCTCATGGTCACCTGAGTGGTGCAAATGGGTGTGGAGCCTTCTTGGAACTCCTGATGGCATCATCTATCTCCAGAAGCGTCTTCAGCTCTGACTGGATGGTGGGGAGTGGAAGGATTTATACTCCTTGCAGACAGCTGGTCATTTGTATTCTTTTAGAGGGTCGTTGAGGCCACTTGGAGGTTTGTCTGTGTCCTCAGGGTCACCTGAGTGGTGCAAATGGGTGTGCCAACCCTTTCAGCCATTCCAAGAAGGCTCCACATCCATTTGCACCGCTCGGGTGACTCTGAGGACACAGGTAAACCTCCAAGTGGTCTCAACGACTCACAGAAAGAATGCAAATGACCAGCCGCCTGCAAGGAGTATAAATCCTTCCACTCCCCCACCGTCCAGTCAGAGCTGAAGAAGCTTCTGGAGATAGATGATATCATCAGGAGTTCCAAGAAGGCTCCACACTCATTTGCATCACTCGGGTGACTCTCAGGACGCAGGTAAACCTCCAAGTGGCCTCAACGGCTCTCAGATGAAGGCAAATGACCAGCCGTCTGTAAGGAGTATAAATCCTTCCCCCACCATCCAGTCAGAGCTGAAGAAGCTTCTTGTATGAGAAGCGAAACATCTTCAGAGGAAAAACAGGAAAGTCCTGGAAAAAAAGCATCTTTGGGACAATCTCTGTAGATGTCCAAGCCCTGAACGCATCCTCTCTGGCAACCGACATTTAGATAAGCGGGGATTAACACCAGACAAACAATCCAGCAGAAAACAATCACTTAATTGAGGAACTCCTAAGGAGAAAACTACACTCTTCCTTGTCTTCCAGTAACATTCTCTGGAAAAAAAAATCTCTTTTCAGGGGGAAGCAGGGAAAAGAGGCCGGACTGGATCGATGGGACCAAAAGGCCCGCCTGGATCTCCTGGAACAGAGGTGGGTTTGCCTGGAAAATGAGAGAGGGAGAGAATAGAAACATCACTTTAAGAAGTCCAGTTCAGGTAGTCCTACGACGTACAACCATGCATTTATTCGAAGTTACTGGAAAAAAAGGGGGACTTGTGATTGATCCTGGCGTTTGCAACCGTTGCAGCATCCCCTGGTCTGCTTTCTTGCAGACGTTTCATGACCCAGCTAGGTTACATCATCAGTGCTAGAAGGGCGTGGGATTTGTGGAGGAGGAGGAGCAGGAGGAGGAAGAGGAGGAGGAATGTGGCATCCTTAGTGGTTTTGAGCTTGGTGGCTTTCTTGCAGATGTTTCATGACGCAACTAGGTAACATCATCAGTGCTAGAAAGAAGTGGA